GGGACGGAAACACGGTTCATCCGCCCCCGGCTGGTGCTTCAGTCCCTCTCCTGCTCCGTCGCCATCCCGCGGGGCCAGCAGGGACGGGTGCCCTGCTGCAGGATGTGACCCTTGGTGCACATCACTGGACGTGCCCCTTGGCGCCTGGTGCTGTGCCATGCCTGCGTGTGCCGGGCTGGGGGGCACCCAGCAGGAGACCCTACAGCAACAAAGCAGCGGGGTGGGAAACTTGGTGGGCTCTGGGGGAGGAGCCCCCTTCCTGCAGCACTGTGGGACCCTAGCACCGCCTGGCCCCGGTCCTGGGTAGAGCTGGGGGGGATGCAGGGATAGGGAACAGGAGCCAAGGGAACTGGGAACCCCTCAAGGGGCCATCCCATGCAGGGACAGGGACCCTGGGGTCCCCATGGAGTGCTGATGTTTCCACCATGCTGGTCACCTTGACTGGCTGCACGGACAGAGGTGCCTTTGTGCTACCATGGCCAGGTGGGTGCAGCAGAGCAAGGGCCTGGCAGGTCCCCTGGCACTGCACACAGAGCTGGCTTTGAGCCCCGTTCCCAGCCCGGGGACAATGGGGCGATTCAGGAGCACAAAGGGCCCCGCGCCACCAGCACCAGCCCAGACACCTCCTGTGCCCCGGCATGGAGGGGAAACCAGCACTGGCAAAGCAGGGTGGGGATCCCTCGGGGACCCACCAGGGCTCAGACTCACATTCTAGTGCCCCCCACCCATACCAGATGTCCCACATGGCTCTGGTCTTGTTGTGTTTGACGTGGGTGATGTGGGGTGCCTGGGCAGGTGCATGGGGAGAAGATGCAGCTCCAAGCAAGACGTTCCATGGGACACACCAGTGATGCCAGGGCAGGGTGCTTGGTCCCTACCAGCTCCTGCAGCTGGCAAGTGCTAATTAGCACCGTTAACGAAGGTTCAATGCCTCCACGGGAGGCTGGAGGTGACCCTGGAGCAGGAGTGTGCCCCCCAGTCTCTTTCACATCCTCCAGCAGATCGTGGTGCTGCAAGACCCCACAGAAGCCCCTCGTGATGTCCTGCGCTCCGGCCGCTCCCGAGAGAAATCCTTTGTCTTTGACGTGGCTTTTGACTCCTCGGCCACTCAGGTGGGTCCCTTGGGACACGGGGGGGATGCACCGGGGTGCCTGAGGCAGTGGGTGGAAGTGGGACAGCCTGGTGCACCCCGGAACCTCCCACCCTCCCGCAGGAGACCGTGTACTGTGCCACCACCCGGGGCCTCATTGAGGGCGTCATCTCTGGGTACAGTGCCACCGTCTTTGCCTATGGCCCAACTGGTGAGGGGTGTAGGGCAGGGAGGGGGCCATCTCCGTGGTCATGGGGGTGTCCTGGCCCCAGATGAGCTCCCTCATCTCTCGCAGGCTGTGGAAAGACCTACACCATGCTGGGCACCAACAGCGAGCCTGGCATCTGTGCCCGTGCCCTGGGTGATCTTTTCCAGGCCATCAAGGACACCAGTGGTGACACAGAGTACCAGGTCACCATGTCCTACCTCGAGGTGCGGTGGGGGGGCATGGGGACATCCATCTCCCCAGGAAGGGCAGGGGACAGCAAGCAGCACACGTGCCAAGCCGGGTGTCTTTGCACCCAGCATGGGACACTGTGTCCCCGTGGGTCCCCATGCTGGGGGGGATATTCCCAGCCCCTGCTCCTGCCCAGATCTACAACGAGATGATC